AAACTATTTCCCTGGACATAGCACAGTATCACAGTGTCACAATGTCACGGTATCATAGACGTATTTGCAAAGAAAAAGCATTAAAGGATGTGGAGTGAAAGGGTTTAACTGTACCGCTCTTTATATCTGAATGTATTTGGAGGACCCTGAGTTAACATTCTTGTGTGTTCGTATCCTAAATTCGCCTGTCGTAGTTTGTTAATAGCATAAACATGTTCCTGGGTTTCAACAAATGTCAAGTATCTATTATCTGAATCACTTTGGGCTTTCCTCCCGAAACAAGCTAACACGCCGTGATATGCATATGACTGAATTAATATCCGAAGCGTCCATCAACAAAAACCTTCTTCCACAATCACTTTAACTAGGCTCCACTTAAACCGGGTAATTATACCCATTCCTTATGAGATTAGATCTACTTAAACTCAGTCCTAACTATTCCTTATGACACATACGTAATGGTTTCGAATATTTCAATCTTTTATTGAAAAGTTGAAAAACTAGGCTTTTATTCGAACCAAAAGTATATAAAAGTAAGGGACTACTTACTTAAGGAATTCTTCAATGTTTCTATTACTAATTTCATTCATCATCTTTAATAATGGAGTCGGGTATGCCAGGAAGGAAAGTTCCGTTCTTTGCAACCTTGGTGGGCGGGTCCTCCGCGGGACAGAAGGCGAAGCGTCCTAGAAGTATCCCCACACAGACGCCCACCACGGTGGTGACAATACCATAAAACAACAGAGGCCTCCTGAGATCCCGTCTGACCATGCGGTCACCATCAGGAGCGATGAATTGCAGCATGGACATCGCCCTAGTTCATAGACATTACATACTGAATGTAAAATGTCAGAACGGAAATGTCAACACATTGTATAATCATTACGCCATACATGTCACATCACACCTCTTCCCATTGTACTCACAATAAAATAGGTTATATTATATAAGCAGTATTCGGTGCCCATGCAAAGGATTCGTTCAAATACAAACTTGATATTCCCTCTCTGTTTCAATCTAACAGCGATAGAAAAACTTGATTGTTAATAATGCAGAATTTGGCCAAACATAATTGAACAAAATATTCCTCTATAGTTTGCACATACACTCTTCAAAAATAGTAGTATGTAGTTCATTGAACCTGACTACACAAAAATTCTGGTATATAAAATGGATATATGTTATTTGAAAATGTTGGTGGCCTGGTGTGTCAAATCGCAGCCATTGTCGATTTGCAATGTCTTAAACGGCATTGTTTTCACACTTGTTCAGAAATGTCATGGAGAAAAACAGTAAAGCAAAATTCACGTGTAATTTAAGGCAATCGTAACTCGTGGTAGTGGCTATAAAGAGGCAAGCATAAGCCAATAATTTGTCAATTAATTGTCAACATTTTTCAAATTCGAAAATGCCGAGACTCAGCGCTGCCGATCGAACATCGCTATAGGACGCATTCAAAGAGGGGAATCGCTGTCTTCTGTTGCACGCCAATTGCCTCCTTTATGACCGATACACACACAGTTCAATTCCATTGCAGACCGTCCGAGAACCGGCCGACCAAGAGTTACCAGCCCTGCACAGGATCGCTACATTCGACCATCTACCTACGTCATCGCAATGCCACAGCTACGGAGACTACAGGACGCATCCCTGGTTTGAGGAGGATATCGGACCAGACTGTCAGGAACCATCTTCGCGAGGCTGAAATCCGACCCAGAAGACCAGTTATCGTCCCTGTTTTGCAACAAATCAATCGACTGCGACGATGGCGTTGGTGCCTTACAGCCTTGGAGTTTGAGAAACTGGAGACGTGTGGTTTCTTGGAAGACAACGTGTTTATCGTCGTCGAAATGAGCATTTTGCCCCACATTGTGAACGTGAATTCGACAAATTCAGTGGCGGTAGTGTCATGGTATGGGGGCCATATCCTACAACACGAGATCTGACTTGGCAGTGGTTCTGGGAAATTTGACAGTAAATCGATACATGAATCAAATTTTTCAACCTCACCTTCTTCCAATGATTGACCGCCAGAGGGAGCTGTTTCACGGTAGACTACCTTCATAATGCCAACATCTTGCTCTGGTCGTCGAGACCTCTAGATCTCAACCCAATCGAGTACCTCTGGGATGAACTCGATCGACGCGTACGTCAACGTCAGAACACGTCGCAGACACTCCCACAACTAGCCAACGCGTTACAAACAGAATGGCGCAGAATTCCGCAGGACAGAATTCGTACACTTATCCAGTCAGTGCCGAGGAGATGCAGAGCCGTGATTGCTGCCCGGGGCAGTCACACGAGATACTGGACTATGTTCTTCTGCCTAGTGCCTATTTTCAATCTCCGACTAGATATTGTAAGTCCATGAGTCAACTGTGTCTTCATTCGTGCTGTGTGTGGAATCAAGACGCTTGGTAACTTGGGTATTCACTAACTACAGGATTATTTGTTATTTGATACACATAATGAAAACAAAATAAGCAGACAATTGTGAACAACTCTCCAGGTCTGCTTAGTGTCCCGATCATATTATCTTCTAAAATGTTTTGTAAACTGGAGGAAACTTCAATAATAATCAAAAATGCTTGTCACGTACCTTCCGAACTACGCGCTCGTATGTTCCTCAACCTCTACAGAGCGGCCCAGTTTTTACTCCTATTGTTCGTAGTAAATTTATTTATGATCATTTATGGCCTCTGTGGTGGCAACCCGCGTGGGTGAGAACAGGAGTTAGTGCTGTCGGCCACGTGGTTAGTGCATGGATGACATACAGGACAGGTGTGGGTGACAGGGGACGATATTTCTGCAAACGTTTGACAAATAGTTTACAGTTATATACATAAATAGGGATATAACATTAATTATTGTGTCAACATAACGTAAAATGTAGCCCAGCCTTCAGATATATGTTCACCCTACAAAACAGATCAATCAGTGTTGTACCTGTTGGAAGACTCATTGTTTTGTAAATGCTTTGAAGCAGCATTTTTAACCTTTCTATTTTGAAATATAATAAACAAAAGCGACAAAACACTTAGGAATCTCTCCTGAAAGCAGGCTGTGATTCTATTGCACGATCACGACTATATCGTGAGGATGTGTTTATGAATCACTATCAAATAATGATTATACCAGGTGTTTGCGAAAAGGTGAGCGTATCCTGCCCCACCCATGGCACCCTTCACAATCTACTAAGAATACAACAAATTGCATTTCAACAATATGTATTCTGGAGCAATGAAGTTACACTTTGAAGAGGACTGACTAACTGTGTATGCAGGTCGTGCAGATAACATACATGGACACTGATGTTTACCATGACTGGGTAAGAAACAAAGCACCTGAAGGGCTGGTTGTGTAAATAAACGCGACAAAACCTTATTAATATTTATAAGAAATCGCTGTTGAAGGCAGAGTCCATTATACGATTCCGACTATATCATGAGCATGTGTTTATGAATCACTATCAAATAGTGATGATACCAGGTGTTTGCGAAAAGATAAACGTATCCTGCCCCACCCATGTCACCCTTCACAAACTAAGAATAAATGCACTTCTGACAATTATTATAAGTTAATGTGAACGAATTCAAGCGCCCGAGGCAAGGCAATGTTCTGTACCACGTATATTGGATGTTGTTATGTAAACATTTGTTTTCCTTTCTAGATTACAGTAAACTACGGTTATAACGAACACGCTTATTACGAACTGACGGATATAACGAACTTACTTTTTAGTCCCGACTATTTGCTGTAGTTATGCTGTATATATGCTTATAACGAACTACGGTTATAACGAACTAAAAATAGTAATCCCTTTGAGTTCGTTATAACCGTAGTTTACTGTATATGTAGACGTTGAGGACTGGTAAGATCGCCTTTGTTTGCACTGATATATATCCTTTCTGTATTTTCGATATTTTGATAACCATTATTGGTTATTGTCTTAAGAATTGTATTCGAGTGTTAATGCTTTGTAAAAATCGGGTAGGACATCAACTACTGGAACCAAATAGAATACTTCGAGAAATACAACATAATCATCTTCAATCCTTGTGCTTCGAAAGTACAATCTACTTTCATGCGCCATATAGAGTCCCACTTCACCAAAACGTGAGAGTGGTTGGTATAACGCCGCTTCTATCAATATTTCTGTAAAACTGTAACACAACGATCACAGAAAATAATACATTTAATTTGCAAAGGACGTTTTGTGTCTACAACATAACATGTAAAGGTGGTTATGTGACTCTGCACGTCACCTTGACCCGTTTGGGTATGCAGTTCCACGAACTATCAAGTTTCCTATTAAAGCTGTGCTTCTCGTTAAACCAAAATGGTAAGGGGCATTGACTTCCGGAAACTGTCAAGCCAGAAGGAGCGTACTTAACCACTGGCGCGCAGTGACCAATATGTACATGTACATTACAGATCTCATGAATGTGACGACCGCCCCCGTGGTCTAGTGGTAGAGCGTCCGCCCGGAGAGCTGAAGGTCCGGGGTTCGATCCCCGGCCGCGTCATACCAAAAGACGTTAAAAGATGGTACTCATTGTTACCCTGTCTGGCGCTCGGCATTAAGGGGCTAAAACAAGGACTGGTCGGCTCGGAGTCAGGATACTGTTTCTGAGTGGGGTATTCATGTTAAACTGCGGCATGGTATCTCAGTGAGCTAGCACTATAAATCGGCATCAGTCCGGACTAGTACAAGCAGCCACACAAACACATACACGTGCATGCACGTCGCTATATAAGTGCAATAATCTTGGACGCGACGTTAAACCCCATTTCACCTCACCTCACCTATGAATGTGACTTACGGGGCTCATTGGTTGGCACGATGTATATATTAACTCTGTAAATTTGGGATTCGAACCTACTGCGGATCCTTATACAGCTAAGCGTCGAACATCGAACTGCGGAGAATGGATCAGCAGTTTTTTAACTGATCTCTAAGTGTATTAAGAATCTGGCTATATCAACACTAAAGACATAAATACAATAAATGCAGTTTATTTCTGTTTTGACTAAATAATTATCATATATTCAACTGTGAAAATCTACAATAACAGTCACACACAAATACACAACCTTAACTACTTTACAGCCTTTATACAGCCTCCTCTACACAGTGAGCGACAGTAGCACACAATGCTACACTTATATACAGTACATAGAACAAGTCATGTACAGATGCATTGCCAGAAAGCCTAGCTTAATATCGGGAGGGGACCAGTGTGATAAAAGAAAATATGTAGATAAAAGTCATGTTTACGTATAAATAAAAGCGACAAAATCCTTCCTTTAATCACAAGAAATATCTGCTAAAAGCAGTGTCCATTCTACAATTCCGACCACATTATAAACATGTGTTTATGAATCAATATCAAATTATTAAAACACATTAGAAATAATTCGAGAGTTATTCATTTAAAACATTGATGCAATATAAGCGACATTATTATCACTGTTACAAGATACATATTTTTATGCAGGTGACAAGTTCAATCTAATTTGGCTGGGTTGGTTTGCGATCATTGTAAAAATTGTTAATTTGTTTTCTGTTTCACATCGCTATACACTTTTAGAGAACAGGTATGTTGAATATAACCCATTCTTACCATACCTGTTTGTGTTGTCAGGGAAAGAATATGGTCTAGTTTATATTTCTGTTTTGAATCAGTGTGATGGGTTCCACGTAGCTCAGCACACAGTATTTCTGTTACAATTTATGTAGGGGAACATTTCAGAGTGACGAGGGTCATAGACGCTCGCCACTTTGCCTAAGCCCATGAGCACGGGAATGGTACCGACAAACCAATGATCATAATCAGGTCCGATCTGGGATTCAAACCGTTGATCAGTGTATCCTGGCACGAAGCACCTCTGCACAGAGAATTGAGGCGCCTTAGACAACAGGGCAATCGGTTTTAGAATATATTGCATCCTGTTCGAAATAGTCAAATCTTTAACATTATAAGACTATCTCACTTTTCAGGACGGACAAAACATGTGAACAAATAGATTGATATTCTCTCCCGAAATAATTTATTTTCAAATTTAGACGTTATCATTTTCTTATTTCATAATTCTTTGTTTCTAAAAAAACACATTTAATTTTAGTAAATAGACCACAATGTACACTTCCAGGGGAACCTGGCTTATCCGGACGGCGTGTCTACCAAGGCCAGATGGGAATGTGTTTTTCATTTTGATACATGGATGGTGAAAATATTGATAATTAATTTCAAACTCTATGGTCAGGTTTTCGGAGCTACCTTGTCCGGATTAACGAGGTTTCACTGTATCCAGCTGTTGTAAATTTCACTCGCCACCCATTTCCTTACAGACTAGTGTGCTTCAAAGTTATGTTAAATGTCTAGGTATAAAAGAGGTGACGTCACGTAACGTGGATGCAGCTGATTGGATGGTAAAAAGTATGACTGAATAATGGCGCTTGACTCTCTCCAAGATCTCGCGAGAATTTGGTTGAGTTTTAAGCTTAAAAAGAAGATCCACCAATCAAGGAAAGCTGCTTCCGTGGTAGGAATTGGTACTGCTCTCAGCAAATATGATGTGTCTGCAAAATAGAAGCGATAAATTTTGACACACTGAGAAAGTGATTGAGTGTCTGGGTTTAAAGCTGCTATCGTTTAATATTCACTGCGTGTCGGCTTCCTTCCAAATAACATTGATGTTTTTGTGGATAAATGTACCGTTAATTGAACAATTCAAAACAACAGCTACATGTCCGTGGACTCTTCAACATATCGGGAAATTGCTGAAAGTGTATAATCACAACGTGGTCCATGCTTACTTCTTCAGTGGTCTGTCAGGTAGTCCTTCTGAATCAAGGAAAGCTCTCTCCAGCATCATCAGCTGGTCATTTACAGCTCGTACTGCCATAGGGCTATGTAACAGGGGAAAGTATGCTTCACACAAATGTTGATAGATTTATACCACATGAAACCATATACAGTAAACTACGGTTAGAAGGAACACGCTTATAACGAACTGGCGGATATAACGAACTAGTTTTTAGGTCCTTGCCGTTTGCTGTATATGAGTGAGTGAGTGAGTGAGTGAGTGAGTATGGTTTTACGCCGCTTTTAGCAATATTCCAGCGATATCACGGCGGGGGACACCAGAAATGGGCTTCACACATTGTACCCAGGTCGGGAATCGAACCCGGGTCTTCGGCGTGACGAGCGAACGCTTTAACCACTAGGCTACCCGACCGCCCATTTGCTGTATATATGCTGTATATATGCTTATAACGAATTACAGTTATAACGAACCAGAATTTGTGGTCCCTTTGAGTTCGCTGTAACCGTAGTTTACTGTAGTTAACATTTCTCCGGCTGATTCACAAGTTGAGCAACTGAACCTCATTTAGTCGCCGTTAATGACAAGATGCTGGGGTCCGATGTGGCCCCGATTTATTATGGATGTCGCTTTTGTGGAGGAAGAATTATTACAAAGAGTGTCTACAAAAGTGATCCTTCCAACGCGAATTCCTTTAACAGTCTTGCTTGGTCTATTCTCTACTCAAAAAGACAGACTTATCAGCAATGTCTCACATATAAACTGAGGTAAGAGTAGTGTATACTACTGCGACACACTTACTCGTTTCTATTCAAAGTTTTTACTCGTTGCTCAAACGCCTTTGCTTCCATGGTAAAGTGCTGAATGAGCAAGTGGGGGAGGGGGTTGCAAGCAAAAAATGTCACAGTTCGTTTCCGAATGCAATTTTTATAAATTTGAACATCTCATCCCCACCCTGTCCCCTTTAATAATTTCCAGACCCTTATTATTCTTTATACGGTTTATTTTTCATTTATAACAATCTAAATAAATACCAGAAACCACTCTACATCATTATCTCATAAAAAATACCATTAATTTGTACCGGGACCTAATGGCAGATTTGGGAGAATGTCGTTTTAGACAGTGTTCTCTATGGACTGAACACAATAACCGAAATAACCGACGGAAAACGGGAGCTCACTAATAGAAAACTTCATTTTCCAGCTAAGTGTGTTCAATCATACTGTACTATACTGTAAGTTGCGATGCGTTTTCTGTGCATCTGGAATGTATATGAAGTATGGGGGAAAGTATGGGGGAAATATACGTGAATCATTACGCAAGGACAATTCTTTTAGCTATCCCCATTTGCGCTTAGACGGAACCAAGTTGCAAAAATGACATATACCAAAATAACAGGAACTGCAGAGAGTAGTTTGACGTTCAAATTCATTAATCCAAAGTGCGTGGTAATATAGTTTAGATGAGCTTGTAGAACGAGAACAGTTATGCCTGGACACGATTAGGCTTTACTCTTATTGTTACATTGCGATTTCTTTAAGTTGATAATGATCACTCTCAGCATCTCACCTGGTGTCGTAGATGCCACAGTCCTATAAACTCAATGTCAACTCCTGAGGAAACAATGACAGTGATGCATAGTGTCCAATGTTTTCAGACATTCGGTCACAATGACCACGACTACTTATCTCAAAGAGCGATTGTGCTCGGCTCGGAACAAATGTCCCACCTGTGGATCCTACGCATTATGCTCAGTACATACCGTCCTCCTCAGTATAAACAAATGTCGGCGCCAAACAAATAAACCCTTCTGTCACAATCTAACATAGCCCTTCACGTATAAAATACTACAAGCAATGACTCATTCTGTTTTAAGTGTAGTCATAAGCACTTCTGGTTTAATGACACCACTTCCGATTTCGGAAAACAGTACAACTTTAAAACATAAAAGTCTATTCCTCTAGCTACCACAATAACAAAGGTATAATCACTTCCTTGCTTCGAAGTATCGCTTTTTGTTGCAACAAAATCAGCAAAGGCGCTGTTGTCTCGATTGTTTATAGGCCGTCGTCGCTTCGTAATGCAAATTTCTCAGCTTCATGTCTCAGGGCACGCTTATCCTATTCCGGAACACCTGATGTCATTACTAATTTCAGCGACCCATTCGTATAGTTTTCATCCCCTGTTTGCTTTTTTGTGCATGGTGGATTCTATTTCGACAGATGATCGATTTCTTGCGTTCATGCCTTGACGTTCTGTATCATAACTTTAGTGTTGACCCGAATACCTATTTACTCTTGTCTTTGCGTAATGATACGTAAGTACCAAGGTCCACGTTAAAAATCATGATATCCACGCTCTTCACACGCATACAGAGATCATTGTACTGAAAAACAATAAGAACGTTTTACCTTATCGACAATACATCTTTATTACCAAGGGCAAATGAAAGTGTAGAAATTCTGTAACCTCATCACTCAACTATCCATCAACGATCGTACATAAATACAACTGAATCTGGTTAATCATTAAGTCTTATTTGAGCTGAATACACTTCTGTTTAATATAAGGAATCCGATACATGTAGGGACAGTGTTCATGATGTTACGTGTCAGCTGTACATTGCTGCTTGATGGGTACGCAGATTATATAGGTTCATACAACACAACCAAAAGAACTAAATTATAAACAAAGGGTGCACCGAACATAGAACACTATGGTAAATAGCTAAATACTTGTGCTGAACGGATTCTATAAATATATAGAAAATAACATTGCAAAATATTTCTACAAAAAGAAAATGCTTATATATAATAATGGATTGTAAATATAATCATGAATATGGCTACATGTGCATGCTCTGTATCAAACTGTCACACCATTAGACAAGGGATATCTGGCACCTGTCAAGAAATTATTATAGTAAATGTTCCTCTGGAACATAATATTCTGGATTCAATTATCTTCAATTATCGTCGAAAGTTGGAGGCGAGCTATAGTACATCTTGGATTTTAAATATTTCAAACTAAAAGTTTTCGCTTCATTGGGCCAACATTGGAAATCCAAGAATAATAGTGTTATCTGGGTAACAATGTTGTAATAGGGTAAAACGTCAACCCAGAAAACCAGAATAACCATGTAGAGCGGAACTGGCAACAACGACTTTCAAATGTATAAAATGCTGACCTTATTTCTATCGTTAAGCGAATATTACTTAAAACTGCATGAAAAGAAAGGAAGTTATTCATTTTCTGGAATGAATCGTATGACATCCCGTAGTGTTGACGCCGCCGAGTCGATGGTGAACAGAATGACGGAGAAATGTCTTTTGACACGTTCCCAGCGTGCATCCACATCCGGGGCCTTCTCTATCTCAAACAGCAGGTCAACCAGGCCAGGGAAACTACTACTGGCGTAGGAGTCTGTGCTGCTCTCAGCCAGGAGGAGGTGTCTGAAAGTATGAGTGTAAATGCTTGATCTCGGTTTTTCAGAATACCCACAGTAAAGTAAATTAATTATATTACCTCAACGTAGAGGTACGTTATAATGGATTAAAACACGATTTCCAAGGCAAATAACTAATCTCTTACTTTTTATAGGGCCTGCCTGGTAAACCATCATTGTCCAAGAACGCTTTCTCCAATAATGTCAGCTGGTCATTGACAGCCCGAATAGCCATAGGGCTGAAACAGATATGCAGGTGTAGGTCAACGAACAAATACTACGCAGAAATTTCAGTAATTAGAATTCTGTAGTTCTTGTGTTCAAGTGCATTTGCGTATCGTTTTTTGTTTAGGTTTATAAGTTACTCTCAACTGTCAATCATATTGAATCATCCTTGACTTTTTAATCAACATGTCATTAGTATTTAACGGGACGTATTTCAAAATTATTTATGATCAACAATAGAAATGTAAAATGACAAAGAAGATAGTTTAGTTAGGATAAGAGTATTCGGCGTCTAGGCAGTCATCGCTTGTTTATAAGCATAACGGTCCGTCGGTTGTGAGTTAACTCCAAGCATGGCTGTGACCACCTATCACATTGGGAAGTTTGACTGGTGGCAACGATAGTATAGAGAGTACCGCGAACGGGCTATCGCTGTGAGGAGCTTGGTTAGTTTGGTGGGAAAACGAATTATGTCATGTCGTATACTAAATACATCTGGTTTACGTACTCATTCCTGTTCATTGTGGCGACTCTTTCATTGAAGGCATCAACCACCTTACTGAAGTTTGCAATCACTGAGCCGAGGTCATCTGGAAATGAACACCCCAAAATGTCATTTGAATCACTGCATTGGCTATGACTTCATAACAAAATGATGTAGGATTTAAGAGGAGGTATTCAACTGACAGGATAAAGGGTCATAATTGATAATAATAATAATACTAATAATAATAAGGTTGACCTTCTCACGGTCGTCTTTATGTCATCCTGTAATACAACGCCACTGACAGTTTTCTTATAATATATCTTAGATATTTAACTTAAATAATCATTTCTACGCCGGAATCCCCACAGGGAACGCCTTAGAAAGTATATACTACATCTACAAGCAATGAGTAGGTACACGACGACAAGCTTTACAAACTGTGTGTGTAGTCATGTTATATTGCGCACAAGCATAGACGATATATCCGTGAAACATACCAAAGTTCGATATGCGTGTTCTAAGTTTTTCCCCATGGTCCTTGCCAATGGCAGTCCAGTATTTGTTGAGGGCCCAGCTGTAGTCGCTGACGTTGAAGGGGATGATGAGGGAGTCGGCAAGAGAACGTGCAAGCTCTGTAGCCATTCGGGACACGGCGCGGTGATACTAAGGGGCAGAGACGATTTGTATTATCTTTTTTATCATCCAAAACTGGCTCCCACAGGAGATATCGCTTGGATGAGATCAAGCGATATTTACACTGTAGATATCGCTGCAATGAAATTACATCACATGCTTTGCAGACCATTGTGACATCACTGGTTACCATGACGTCATAATAAAATAACATCACTAATGGCTCTGCTCCTGAAGCTGTTAGCAGTACTTTTACACTGAAGACACTGCTAATTACTGTCTACAAATTGAAAAAGTTGGAAGAATGATGTTGGAATGATAAATAAAATCTCACCCTCGTGTCTTTTGATATCAAATATATCAACACTCGTTGATAAAAGTGGCAAACATCCTCGGCAAGCATCGGAATTCAGTTTCCAAGTTTATCAACTCGTGTTGATATATTTGATATCAAAAGACACGAGGGTTAGCTTCTCTATGTGTCAATACTTTCAAACATTCTTTCTCTGAAATGTAGCACTGGTGGTACAAGTGCGTGAGTGAGTACTGTTTTAGGTCACTTTTAGCAATATGCCAGCAATGTCTAGGCGGGGGACACCAGAAATAGGCTTCACACATTGTACCCATGTGGGGAAACTGTTGGTACAAAATTAAAAGTCTCATCTAAAGTGTAGTCAGAGTTGAAGCAGTCAGAAACTTTGAGGGTTTAGACATTCACCACTTTCGTGAAACTCTTGAGCAAAAGTATGATGCTGACAAACTTAGAAGCATAATCAGGGTACACATGGGATTCGAACCCACGATCATAGGTTTTTGACGCGCCAAAAGGACTCAACTCTTGTGGCTCCTTTCACGACTGGCAAACCATGGTGTCAATCTACGCCACGACTGCACGACGCTAACTCTCACTCTTACTTTTATGTCATGGTAAGTAATTACCTCCATCCTAAGGGAAAAGTCCCATTTTGGTCGACTTCATCAAGAAGCAAGAGTTGCTGAGACATTGGAAACTATGTCTGCCACTCATAAATCAAGTGGTTTCGGCCCCCGGAAATGGAAGACTGCATACATTTCGTACATGGGAAAAGGATTTGTAAACAATAGATGCATAGTTCATTCCTTGACTATTGTAGTTCAGACTTTCGTACTCACCTCAAACTGTTTGTCCATGATGTTTTTCACTGCATAGAACGTCTCATACAAAGAATGATACAAGGGATAAAAGTCCACCTTGTATTTGTGCTGGAAGAAAATGAATGTCAGTACATACTGCAATCGCCATAAATAGCATGCACATTTGCATCAAAGACTACATGTGGAAGTTACATGTATATCATATTACTGTGAGATAAGTAATGATGAAGTAGGGTCACATGTTGTTTATCAGCAGGATGTACAAAACTAAATTTGGTTACAAAATGACATTATTGTTTAGATGGCGTACCGTGTTGTATATATAGGACATGTCCACCGCTGTGATCCCAGCCTTCTGAAGAAGGGGGGCGTAGTCACTCCCAGAACCCAAGTCCCCTATCCTGGAAGCGAGGGAGATTGTCAAGAGTGATAGCGTGAACAACAACATCACCTCAGACAATACATTCCACCGACCAAGACCTTTATTTAATGTCTCTATATTTCAAATGGTATACATTTTATCTGATGAGCTTTTCTCAAAATCAGTAACCATGTTGCCCGAACAGTATGTTAATTAAGTTAAGCTATGCAATATGGCTACTCCATTGCTGCCCGATGTGGTATATACACGTTGGTAACGAGGGGCCCCGACCGAACCATACGCAAATAATAAAGAAACGATAATCTCACTTTGGAAGGTTCATTGAAACGTCATTCTCATCTTTCAGTGGGTAGCTGTGAAGCCAGGTATCGTACACTGTCTTTCGCCCGGCGGCAACCTCGGCAGGATTGGGGTTAGGAACCTGAAAGAATTCAGAAAGCGTAAATTATATTTTAGATGAAACTGTTGTTAATGGATTCGACAAGCAATACTGTTTACCACAGTGTGAGCTCACTGAGAGGTCAAAGTTCCAAGGGATGCAGGTTACTGTCATTGAACACCTTAATGAAAATACAAGCATGGAAACTATGTCCATGAGCGTCAGAAATGTCTGCTAAAAGCTGAGTCCATTGTACGACTCCGACTATATTGTAAGCACGATCACGCAGACCAAGGATCATAATCGGAGCGAAATGTGGATCGACTCCCTGACAAGTTTATCCTCGGCGTAAGGAGTAGGAATGCTATTAACAATTTGTAGTACCCACGAAGACGACAGTAGAAGGAGAGTTAATTCCGGACCCACATCCACATGTCCACCTGCAACTATTGCCACACGCAGAAATTCATATCTGATAAAATGCTCAAATTGCCCCATAATGTTTCGCATACTTTCGCGAGAGTCATTATGACAGACCATTGGTCAAACTTTACTACCAGTACAGTGTTGCGATTTTTCAAAGTCACAAATATGATTCCAATTATGTAGTCCGGCATTTACCGAGGCCTAATTCTATTTATTGCTTCACAATTTGTTGAATTGTTCATCGTTACACTACAGTTATCAATTCCCAAATAAAAATAGCCCTTTCTGCTACAGCCATTGTATTCAAAATAAGTGTGGGGTTCCCTTAAACCCGACCAAGGATTGAGGATCCATCTGCTCGAGTTCCAACCCATAGCTATTGATAGGTGTTCTCGGTTAAATGGTTTACCTTCTTTGCTGCTTCATACGTTGCCCTGTACATCAAAGGCGTGCTGGAGGCTCTCAGCGAGTAGTTCCCTGCAGGCAGACAGGAGATTGGATATATGTTCCTTTACCACACACTATTTTGTGTATGGTAAATAATATCTTAATATTATGTTCTTCTTAATAGGTCTTTGGGACTGTGTTACAACGTTATGATAGTTAGAATAATAATCACTCTATTTGACAAGATGGATATTGGGATGTTATTACCATAAACAGAGATATCCACGTTGATATAAGCCACAGACCTCTCTTTCAGGTTTTTCCGGTATTGCTGGAAATAGTATATAATTATAACAAGAAGCAGTCTAAATTGCACATCAGTCCAATTTAATTTTAAACACACGAAGCATTAACATTCATCTGGACTATATTAATAACAACAATTTTGCCATTGGAATAATAGAGAGTGTCCCCCGCCGTGATATTGCTGGAATATTGCTAAAAGCGGCGTAAAACCATACTCACTCACTAACTGGACCCCAGCGGACTGTACTCACCTCCACCCAGTCATTGGACCCCAGCAAACCGTACCCCCCTACTTCCTGTGTCACTCACCCCCTCCAACTCTAACTGGACCCCAGCGTACTGTACTCCTCTACCCCTGTGTTACTCACCTCCACCCACTCATTGGACCCCAGAAGTCCGTATTCCTCTGCCCCCCAGCTGCAGAACATTATGGACCGACGGGGACGCCACTTGCCTGGAAGACAGTCATGATAATCTTAGGATTGCTGATTTAAGACATGTTATGGGAATATTTCTATTCGGTCACTACTTCAAAACAAAACTTAAAACTTTTAAGTCTTCGGGGTGTGATTGTTTATGTTCGTGATAGAATATGTTTTAGGTCACTTCTTAAAGATATACAATCTGCTTCTCTGAACCGAGAAACTGAACATGGATTTCACAGCTTTGTTTCCGGGACATCCAGCATCCAACGAAATGTTTTATTTGTTTGTAAAATCTGACGAAAAAAATATTGTTTTCAATATTCTCTGGATACTGGTTTCTTGTTTGTCACGTAGCTGATGGTTGCCAACATAAATGTCTGCGAACACTGACCGCTCTTGACCATCTCCCCCATGGCTCTGGCTGACTCCATTATGGCGGCCGTTCCACTGGACGGGTCAATAGCTCCGTACACCCAGGCGTCTCTGTGATTCCCGACCATCACGTAGCGATCTACAGATAAAAATATGCTTTCTGCGTTGTGAATCAAGACCAAAACCAAACATGGGGCACATAACATATTTTCGCTGACACGCCGTGATATAATTTAACTGGAATACTGTTCAAACCAGCGTTAAACACTCACTCAATATCATATCTGCAAGTATGGCAAAAGTAACCACAAGAATAGTAAAACCGATCGAGTAGTGACACTAAGGGAGGTAACTCCTGTTAATACACACGCCCTCAAGTTATACACATACATTACCGAACCGTCATCAAGTCTCTCTCTCTCTCTCTCTCTCTCTCTCTCTCTCTCTCTCTCTCTCTCTCTCTCTCTCTCTCTCTTATTTCTCTTCCCACAACCTACCTGGCTCTGTCGATCCTTTGATGATACCGATGACATTATATGCAGTTTTTATTTCATTCTTTGTTGATATTTTTATTTGCATCTTCCTATTGAAAACAAAAGAAAATAACAAATACAATGGTTATATAATCACGGTAGAATTTTTTTTATGAATGAATAACACATTGAAATCAGTACACGACATTGTCAGGTTGATGATAAATAGCAATGAAATTCTAGAATTCAAAATATCCAAAATGCTTATTTTATGTTAAACCTCACTAAATACCACTACATTCATCTAATAATCTGCAAAACAGATTGTACAATTATTAAAAGTCGGAACGGTAGCCCTCAACAATTTAGATGTCATTGGTAGACGTGATAGAGTGAGTGAGTGAATTTGGGTTAACGCCACTTTCACCAGTATTCGGGACATATCACGGCGTGTCATTGGAAGGAACATGGATGACTTTTAACTGTAGGCTTTATGTCCAAAAAGGAAACTATATTGCCATGCAATGAGTTCTAATACGTAATTCCAAGTAATCTAATCTCTTGTCATTATGTAAGGATAAGAATTTATGGATAAACAACTTCTTTATTACAATTAAGAGCGATGTTTCGGTGTAGTTCTAACACCTACACCGAAACATCGCTCTTAATTGTAATAAAGAAGTTGTTCATCCATAAATTCTTATCCTTACTTAGTACTCCAACTTCTAAATGCCTATCAAAGAAGTTCTTGTCATTATCTCAAACATTGGCTGACTACTATCTACCAGCGAGTTTGCCAATATGGCTGCTGAAACATTCAAATCATTGGGTATTGGAGTCTTTAACAGTGACTCCCAAGAAAGAGTATACACATCCATGGTGTAGAGACGGTTATTGGAGAATCATACCCACCACCCTGTCTTCTCGGTACACATCCATGGTGTAGAGACGGTTATTGGAGAATCATACCCACCACCCTCTCTCCTCGGTACACATCCATGGTGTAGAGACGGTTATTGGAGAATCATACCCACCACCCTGTCTTTTGCAGAGCTCCCCCCAGTCTGTAGGTGATGTTCAGACCCCCTCTCCAGTCAAGCGGGACCTCCTCTCCGCCCATTTCACTGTGGGTCGAACAATATGAACAATAAACAGATTAAAAGACTAATGTTCATTGTATTTCCCATAGAGCGGACAGTCCAGACACTACAAGAGTAATAGCTACGCGATATAAAAACTGATTTCCAAGATATCTGACTTAATTAGTGAGTGAGTGAGTGAGTTTGGTTTTACTCCACTTTTAGCAATATTCCAGCAATATCACGGCGGGGGACACCAGAAATGGGCTTCACACATTGTACCCATGTCGGGATTCGAACCCGGGTTTTTGGCGTGACGACCGAATCTGACTTAATCAAATGCCAACGCCAAATAACAACCAGTCTCGATTCTCCGCCGAGACCAGAGGCGTGAGGCTATATGGCCCCAGACCACAGTTATCCCCCCTAAGTTTTACCATGAACCGGAAGGAAAATAGGAGAATATAGTACCCTGTTTAAATGGGCTGTTCAGCCTGTGGCAATTTTTTTGGAGTGACTTGTGATAGCTTAAATGAAAGATAAGACATTGTAGTTTGCTGTCAATTTTTTGTTAGCCCCAATCTGTGAAGGTATTGATTCCAGCTTCCCATGATTTGACCCCAAGTTGAAGGCCGCTGTGTGTGTTTCGGCTCGAAACTTCCGGTGAGCATTGTTGACAGTGGTTACTGCGAAAGCAAGGTGGTGGATGCTGGACGAAACTTTGCGTTTTAAGTGACAAGTGGCAGGTTGGTCAGCATGCAACAGGAGAACAGCCTACGACTGATAATAATTATTTTGGGCTGTCATGTCACTGTAGATAGCAAAGAAGGTAATTAATTGTGGTCTGAGGCCATATAACGGTGGACAATATGTGAATGGATCACTGAAAATCAGTGATGACGCGAGGTGTTCGTGAAAAGGGCAAGTATGTCCTGCCCTACCGTTAGTATCCGCCTCTTACACAATTTCTATACAAAAGTAATTGTTAGTTTGTTGCCTGGCGGCCTGTAAAGAGTCGAGGCTTGAGCAGGTAATCAAGTGATGGATCGGAAAATCCAGTGACTCAACAGCGCATTTACTGATTTTGTTGAAACTAAAAACGTAATGATTTACCTGAGGATCTTCTCAGCAATATCATATCCGATGGGATGTGCTGGGATTTTAGGTAGTTTAACGAAAGTAGAATTCTCAGGATACCGATAAGCAGTTTCTGAAAGGTTCAAGATAAGCGAGTTAATAGAAATCTATAAGTAGCACATATTTACTAATGAGTTCACGCTCTCTAATTGTTGGCGTGATATGGAGTGACGTCACACTGTTCATGATGCCACAGCTTATCATTGTTGATTTCCTCTCTGCGCTCATGGACGCTGTTTTCAACATCTCCTCACCAGCTTATCCTAATGCGTTGATTAGAAAGTAATTGTTACATATGTGTGTTAATCGTACTGATACTCGTGTAAGAATCCATTTATTTGCATTGCGCTTGTGTGTCGTCAAACCTACTGATTGCTGGATATCCTGGTGTTAGCGGGTCGCCATCACCAGTGTAGATTGTCCCCCTTTGTGACCCTGACCCTGGAAGCCACCATGTTTCCGGGTAGACACGTGGGTCGCCCTTCCACGTGTAGTCAGCTGGGTCTGAGAAGATGATGACACCAGTCGCGCCGTGGTCCGCGGCTATCTGAACCTATGTTATCGGAAGGACAAAGGGACCTGTAGAGTGATTAACCCGGAGTGGACATCGACATTAAGATGTTTGTGTGCTCTTGTGGTCCTTACCAATTAATCCCTAGTGATCACTTATTTTGACGTGGGATGCAGTTGTTGCCAAACATGTTGAGAAAGAGTTGTTAGCTATCGAAGCAGTGATGAAGCCTTGGAAAGTTTGGTAACTGTTTGTGAAACTTTAATTTGAATCGAGTTCTTGTGGGTAACACTCCTCGTACACTGTGGTAGTGAAACCGGTTGATGGTATTATACACTTTACCTTGCTTCCCCTGAAGATCTTCCCGTATCTGACGATTACGATCTTCCCCGTGACGTTCATGCTGACGTTCTTCTCCAGCCAGTCAAAGTCCTCCACTCGCCCGTAATTAACATACACCATGTCACCCTGGCAACGAAAACCTAGTGTAAATATGTAAAAAACAGAGTTCCTAATGAATTCCAGTGCTGAACTGACTAGAGCCGACTGTTGAGGTTCGGGTCATACGATGTTTCCCTTCATGTTGCGCAATATTCCAGCAACTCCAGCGTTTAGTGTCTACATGTCCCAACTTTTGAGGTACAATCGAGCATGCTCTTTCTATGAAGATTTCAAAGGTCATCATAGAACTCTTGCTCAAAAGCTGTTTGATGAGGGTTACAACATTCAATGCCTTGCTAAAGTTTAAAAAATGTTTTATGGTAGATATGTGGATGACATTTCCAAATTTGAAGCGTCAGTGACAAAGAATATGTCTGATACAATACCATATTTTGTTTTTTTCAGGTGAACAATTGCCTTGCCTTTGCATGTATTTATGACGGATGACCCCATAGGGGCGCGACACGCTTACCTTTTCGCGAATACCTGGAATCATCAGTATTACATAGTGATTCATAAACACAGGTTACAAATGTACACGGAATTCTTTTAGAAAACATTTCTTATCATTATGGAAATGGGTTTGTCACTTTTATCTAACAGTAGAAGGGGCTCGGGTGGCCCAGTCTTCTAAGGCGCCGCGATTCACTGTGTAGAGTTGCGTCCCTTGGGCACGCCAGAAACCTATGATTGTGGGTTCGAATCCCGGTTCGCCCTGATTATGTTTCTAGGTTTGTCAGCACCATACCCGTGCTCGTGGGTTTCACCGAAGTGGTGAACGTCTGAGACCTGCATCACTTCGGGCTATCTTCCCACATTAAGCTGACACGCCGTGATATAACTGGAATACTGTTAAAAGCGGCGTTACACCCAACTCACTCACTCACTCACTCTAACAGTAGAACATAGCATCTTCAAGATACCTAAAGATGTGCCTTTAAACACTGATAACTGATGGTTTCTCGATGTTTAAAACTGTCAGTGATGATTTTTTAGATATTCGTATTCCATTGTCGGTAATCAAATTTGAGCTGGCGTCTAGATAGTTTCCCGTATTAGGCAGAAAGGATGACATTTGTGTTATAAAGAGACGAGTCCGACTATGTTATTTGTGTGTGATCGTACCGTGATGGCATTGGTTGTTGTGGATGCAATCAATGTTCCATTTGTTTAACAGGCCCAGACTATGTACATGCCTACTGCTTATAGCTGTATATATTGCTCGCTGCGGCACAAAACAAAACTCACTAAGGAATCGGCGGCGTTAAACAACAAAGATCATATAATGCCACAAACGTACTTTACTTTCAACCAAGCTATTACTTTATACACGAACGTGTATACATAGGTGGCAAGGAAACTATAGACGGTCACGTGACTGGAGCTGAACTGTTTAGGGAATTGTACGCCAAGTGACAAAATCCATTTTTTCGCTAAGATGATAATATTATAGGCTACTGTTCTGCTTGCAGTTGTTTCCTAAGGTTACTGAAAAGTGTTAATACAGTGCGATAAAAAGGACACATTCAAAATACTTTGGCCGAGAACATGATAAATTGATGTTCGTTTAGCTCACCTCCACCAAGCCTGCAGGGGAGTAAGCATTGTATGGCGGCAGCGCATCAGGGTCATCCTCGCCAGTCAGGTTAGCTTCCTTCAAAGGAGACTGGTACACCACTCCGCCTGTGTCGTTCAGGACGCGCACCACGTTGGGGTTACTGGGATCGGGGAAGGACAGAAGGACGTCATACGGCGTTAGCTTGACGTCATCAAACCCCCACTCCATCCATTTATCCTTGATCCAGTTACCAAGGTCAAGATTGTTTTTAGATCCTGCAACGTGTGGCTTGCTTGACAGGTGTCTGAAATGTAGATAGGCGTCTGTAGGCGCTTGACAATATCGAACATCAACGTGCATGCAAGTGTGTGTGTGTGTGTGTGTGTGTGTGTGTGTGTGTGTGAGAGAGAGAGAGAGAGAGAGAGAGAGAGAGAGAGAGAGAGAGAGAGAGTGAGTGTGTGTGTGTGTGTGTGTGGCTGCTTGTAGTATTCCGGACTAATGCTGGTTTAATAGTGCTAGTCCTCTGAGATACCATGCCGCAGTTTTAGCATGGATACACACTCAGACACAGTTTACCGACTCCCAGCCAACCGGTCCTTGTTTTATCCCCTTTATGCCGATCCCAAGGCATGTAAACAGCAAGTACCATCTTATAACGTATGAGATTCCGCTCTCCAGGCAGGCGCACTATCCTCTAGACCACGGAGGCAAAACATGAACCTTCCTAAACCTACAATCAAAAATTAAGATACCTGTTTGTATATTATAGCAAGTAGCGGTTCCTAACATTTTTCCTTCTGTGGTTCCTCGTCCCCAGCAGACTATCGTGTCAATAATTAGTTGTAACAGTATTTTTTATCGGTAAATCCTCTGGGTTTCGATGTATAACTGGGTCCGTTCAAAGCGATCATAGCGTTAAGGTAACGCCCACACTGTAACATAGACTTACGACTTCTACGATCGCTTTGTGGAACGGGACCCGGTCCCTAGTAGCTTATGCTTGTCGTGAGAGACGACTAAGTGGACGCAGTTTTCGGAATACGTGCATGACATCGTGCCCTGGCGGTGTCGCTTTCAGTCACATGTCCTGGTTTTCCGTTTCCTGGTTTTGGTCTTCTGTTTTCACTCCATCGTGATAAATACTACTCAAAGTTTGCTAAGGATCACCTTTAAAGGTAATACGTCAAATTGTGTGCATCTGTTGAAAAAGCCAAAGACAATATTGCGCATACTACGCATGCCAAGGAAGTAGTCGATTTAAGTTTCTCTTAGCCGTTAGACTTTATGTAGATATAAACATGTGTTATATACAACATCAAAGTTTTATGATTCATCTTCAATAAAAGATATACCATTTTCTATACAATATTTACATAATCGTTCAGTGTATGGGACATTTGTGTATCTCCCCAAGACAACTGCAAGTTTAAACTTGCTACATCTGAAACGAGTCATACATATTCTAAGATGTACTGGTATGGGGAGTGTAAGATATTTTTTTACATTTAACAGGGATTTAAAATGTTTATAATAAAAGGTATCAGATATACTATTGATGGAACTACACCATGATTGTTGAAGGTTATCAAATAATCTTTGCTTAAAAAGATGAATAAATACCTTCACATTGCCAACATTCAACATATCGCGGCGGGGACATCAGAAATGGAACCCACTGTGTTGACTAAACTATCCTTGGTTGATCAATGTTAGCCAAGTTAACTGATTTAGGTCAACCTTTGGTTGCCCTGTGTTTCCCATCACACCTACTGAACTTCTTGGGTGCGGTACTCTGGTTAACAGCCTCCAAGTGACGCCAATGCTAAAGCTAATAAGTTTCTTTATCTATTCATGAATAGTATCCTTTTAATGATATTTAAACAGGCATCGAGAGTAAAAAGTTTTTATTAATATAAATACTTAAGCATCAATGCAACTTTTATCATGATTTGGCATCAGTGATTGATGTTCTACACGTTAACTGTCCTTTGTAAAGCAATAAATAGAAAAGATACATTGAGGTTATCACGCGAGTGTGTTTGGGGATGGTAAATATCCTGCATTAGGAATAAACATTGTATTTAGCGAGCCTATTCCTAATAGTGTTTATTCCTAATACAGGATATCTACCATCCCCAAACACACAAGCGTGATAACCTCTTTATCATATAATGTCATTCGTTAATTCTGTGCTTTAAAATCGCTTTCCCTCTCTCACAGACATTACCGAAACATTGCGAGTTTTCCTGGAATGCGCGCATTAATATTTATTACGTCAAAGGGTAAGTGATGTGTCAGTCGGATAGTGACAGTAGCCAATATAGTTCCAACTGAAATCTGTTTCTTATACAGTGGCGAAGCAACATATACGCAAAACAACAGTTGTTTTTAATTGCCTTTCGCGGCAATCCATCGGTCTGTCCGCTAGAGTAACTGCCCTTTGTCAAAGGGAAGCTACTCTAACCCTAGTCTATGAGACGTCACGGCCACGGTCAGACGTTGTTGACAGTCGGTCTGTCCTGTCATAACGTTAAGAAGTGTAGTCAGATGTACACACATCGACAAAACGAAACAAGGTAACAAGTCAAACATATTTCTGACAAATCCAACTATTTTGATTTGTGGAGAAGGTTTAAAGGGCGCAGAGGTCTACAAGCACAGATATGGCTACTGATCCCGCTTGGCTAGGCCTCGTGCCCTCGCAAAATTGTTTCGAAATTTATATCTCCAAAGTTGCCAAAACTTATAAAATCCCTTAGCTACGTCACAGTTAGACACTGAATTTCAGTATATTAGACTGTTCTTTTGATAATGATAGCAATTATCCCTGTAGTTTATCCAGATTCCCGATGGTTAATTCTGACTCGATCGCCGAATGACGAGGGCAACGCCATGTTTGTTTATAAACAGTGAAAGTAGTCCTACGTGACCTTTGATATTTGCATCTCTATCCGCATATGACCCCAACGGATATCGTTTTTATCCGTTGGCTTTATCCTGCCGAGAAACCTACCCATTATATGATAAAGTGACAGCTTTGTCAAGCAATGAAATACTTGTTAACCACTAACAGTGGTGTGCTATACCACACACAGGTACACTGAAGACCAATTCTAACCCGAATCTTTACGGGTTCAAACAGACGCAATAAAACATTCAACATTAAATATAACAGTTGAATATTCATATTGTATAAAGAAAAGGTCTTAGACGATATTATGAAAATTGTCTGTACAATTATCAAGAATAAGGATCTTACTTGAGGTAGCTTTCAATTCGTGTGTTATCCACTGCGTCCAAAAGTTGTTTTCCTATTTTAGGATCACCGTCTTTAATTATCACCTCCGAGACTCCAGGCAAAAAGACTCCATTTTTGTCGGGTACTACTTCCGGTTTCCCGTCTTTTGACTGGGCAGGGCATATTGCGTAGCGACCAATGATGATACCGATACCCAGTCCGGCAATTATAGCAAATATTCCGGTGATGTAGACATATCGTTTGGATGTAGTGTCAGACTTACTGTCTTTGCTACCTTCCATTAACTCAAAATTGCCCATATCTGCAGTTTCTGTGGAAAGAAAAACAAAGATACGTAAATATACATAGGAGGCGTCTTCCGGCTGTTCCATGTTACTTAATTTTGACTAGTTTAGGTCTAAACAGGTTTAAGATTGTGTTTAAAAGTTAAACGTGTTTGGACTCTGGAACTAGGAAAGACCCGTATACCCCCCCACCCCCACCCCCACCCCACCCCCAAACACCCCCCCACCCCCCACCCCACCCCCCACACACCCTTTGTAATTCAATGTTGGTAATAATAAAGGCGTGCTTTCTATGTTTTTTAGAATTTAATGAGTGTGTTTGGTTGGTAAGAGGGTGTGTGTGCTTAAAATGGTTAAGTGTATATCGTAATAATTAGATATACTTTCATTGTCAGCTTCCTGGATGAGAGAAATACCATCAGTCAGACGCCGACAATACTTCCATGTTCACAAACATGTTTACACTATACTAACCTGCAATTTCTTGTCTCGTAGTCCTTCACCCCCCACCACTACTACAGAGAATATTGTCGTCACAAGTGTCAGTTTTCCTAGACATCATTAACCTAGCTTGTTTTTTTGTGGTTTTTTTACATTTCTATGTAAACATTGTACCACGTTCGTTGTGAGTCCAGGTGGAATATGTGTTATGCAAGTGCCCGTGCATCTGATGTGCACATCTAATGTCAATATGTATTATACCTCTTATCCATAGTTGACTTATTGCGCGATAATATGCACTTTAATTAAACATGCTTAAACATATACTTTTATGTTTAAAGTGTTAGATTATGGGGATGTTGTGTTTAGGTAGTGTTTAGGCTGTGAGACGATAGCTCATTTCATATGTTTAGATCCTAAACGTGTTTAGATTGAGCACACAAAATGTGTATTCCGTTTAGATCTTAACACGTCTTGTATGTGTTTACAATTCAAAACACATTTTACAGTGTGAACAGCCTTTCAACCAGCCCTGATCTACGTTGATACATTTACGTGCGTGATATGAATGCAGAAGTCCGACTAGGGACATGACAGATACACGGAGAGCGTGTATACGCTTGAGCAGGTATAATGAACATTGTCTTGAGACGTATACGTTTGAATGACATACCTGCATATATTTCAAGTTACCAAACCGGTTTCTATTCAAGATATGTCAATGTGTAGCTAGCTCTAGACATACAGAAACATACCATACATTTTGAATGTATGCGTGAAGACATATAAACTGACAGTGTTGGGGTTCGACTGGCGAGAGACGCGCTAGGTGACACGTATGCGGATAACCTCATGATGTATGACACTTGTTGATACATTATTTATCCCTAATCCCTATGTTTGCTGGTCCTTGTGCTTTTAAAAACTCAATAAGTAGAATATTCTTGTAATAAATAAGTCAACAATAATAACTCCACAGACCGCTTATTCAACTATCAACATAAAAAGTACGACAAGGTTGAGCAGTCACTGACATCGTTCAGCGCAATACAACTCAACCTGCGAAAGTGGGTCTCTAGTAGGTTTATGGAAACATAAACTTGATTAGCCAGTCAAATGCAATCAAGTCCCTGAACATATATTTATTATCTGATAGTATATTGTTGTGGCTATCTCTTTAACTATTCAAGCCCCATGTCGGCCTTTGTAGGTGGGGACCGCCTCCGTGGTCTAGTGGTAGAGCGTCCGCCGCGTCAAACCTAAAGACGTTAAAAGATGGTACTTGTTGTTACCCTGTCTGGCGCTCGGCATTAAAGGGCTAAAACAAGGACTGGTCGGCTCGGAGTCAGTATACTGTGTCTGAGTGGGGCATTCATGTTAAACTGCGACATGGTATCTCAGTGTGCTAGCGCTATAAATCGGCATCAGTCCGGACTAGTACAAGCAGCCACACACACACACACGTGCATGCACGTCGCTATATAAGTGCAATAATCTTGGACGCGACGTTAAACCTCATTTCACCTCACCTCACTTTATAGGTGGGTGAGTATTGCAAGACTCTGTTGTGTTTATTTCGACGTATTCGTGTGAATCGCGAATGTGAATGTTATATTCTTGATCTCTATCATACCAAACGTTGACTACATTACGAGAACCTGCGACACGAGCTGCAGTCTTAAATACAGGGATATCTTAAAATAAAGATTTGCTGGAGGAACGACACTGCATTATGGTGTAACTCGAGTAAGAATTCACAACACGTCAGACAGACATTAAATCTCAGAGTTGGTAATGCGTGAGTAAGCCGTGTCTAGTTCATCTCTCTGTTGATGCGCTGGCACATATGAATATAAGTTCACAACAATTTGTTTCTTAAAATGTATACGTCCAATTATGACAGTAAAAAGACATGCAATATTTAGCGGGTCACCACCGTGCAGACGTGCATATATAAAACATTAGGATGAATAATAAAGGTAGGTCGCAAATCGTTATGTTATCGCTATGCCTTGACAGTGGACGTTTTGTTCATATCATTGCTCACACCAAGCTCGGCACTTTTAGCTCAGATTAATTGTTTATTTTTTTACATTAACTACTTCTTTAGTAGTACATAGACTCAGCCTTTGGAACATATAACTGCATAATGAATAATTTAGCAATATAATCAACACTGAACTAACCTGAAGCTTGCTTGCGAGGTTTCTAAATTTGTGACCGTGTTTCAGTCATATGTCCGGGAGCAAGGCGAGATATACAAACTTTTGTCGTTTGTCGTCTAGTTATAGCAACCCGGCGCAGTTATTATTCAACAGGTGGTCTTTTCAAAGCGCAAGTTTTTGTCTGTTTACATGATCCGTTCTTAATAGTCATGGTACATCGGATCTTAAAATAGAATAGCTTAAGAATACAAAGCCTCAGTGTTATGTTACGCAATGTGGAATGAGGGTAGATTTAGACTAACCTGTTGTGGATCTCGCAGCGCCGTTGAGGGACCACTATGTATACAGCAGTACATCAGCCAGCTTACTTTTGCCACAACCACCCACCACTCTCCCGTACAGACTTTAAAATAACTGTAAGCAACTCCCTACAATACTTGGCAAGTCTAGATTTTTTGTCAGTTGTGTGTGTCATGTGTGTGCGTTACCCTAGTGGTTAAAGTGTTTGCTTGACAAGCCGAAGACCCGGTTTCTATTCACAGTATGGGTACAATGCGTGAAGCCCATATCTAGTGTTCCGTGAATTCGCTAGAATAATGACATTTATCTTCGTGACAGTAGAAACACGGGCTTTTCAAAAGCATTGATTTACTTTTGTAATTCCAAACACGAATCGACCATTAAAACAATTTATATATTCTCAAGACTTTGAGAGACACAGATGGGTGATAAATGTTCCTAATTTACCATTACCATTTACGAGATATTCCTAAAAGCGGCGTAAAACCATACTCACTCGTTCTCACTTATGGCACATTGCAAAAGCATGTATTTCTCAATTAGACCTTGTGCAAACCTTGTCCTCACGCACAGTAAATTTAATTCTCCTAATGCAGATTACTCAATTTTCATTAATACACAACACTAAAGTTAGACCAATAGTGAGTGAGTGAGTTTGGTTTTACGCCACTTTTAGCAATATTCCTGCAATATCACGGCGGGGGACATATTGTACCCATGTCGGGATTCGAACCCTGGTCTTTGGCGTGACGAGCGAACGCTTTAACCGCTGGGCTACCCGATCGCCCCATGACCAATATTGGAAGAGACTAATCTATCAACACTTCTTGGGCGCAAGCAGGCCTCCTATCGGTTACACAAAACAATAGTTTTGCCATAGTCTTCTATAATAATGTTATATGTATGTTTTTAAATAACTTGGTATTCATCAACAACCATTAAATTTACATGTATGCACAGCCTGGTGTTAAATCTGCAATAACATCACATATTTTGGCTAGCTCAGCCAGCTCCATTTCCGAGTACAAGGAGCATAATTCGTCATGTTAAAATACACAGCACAAAGTATTGACAAACATGGTCAGTTTTAATTACTCGGGGGATTAAATATAAAATACATCATACAACTCGATAAAGAGCATGCACAATATAACAAACGTGCGGGAAACTCACATGTAAGCCCATGGCCTGAGAAAGACCCTAGTATAAAAAGAACGGGTAAACATGGGTTTTCTTTTTTGTTTACAATATTCCACCCATGTCATCAAGAATGGGTCTCACGCATTGTACCCAAGTGGGGAATCAAACTGGGGTCTTCGACGTGACGAGCCAACCACTTTAACCGTCAGGTTCATCGCGTTGTAGGCAATGTCGATTTCATAGTGCTAGCCCACTGAGACACCATGCCGCAGTTTAACATGAATACCCCACTCAGACACAGTGTACTGAAAAGCCCTAAAAAAAGCCCCTTAATGACGAGGACCGCGGGGAAGGTCCGGGGTTCGATCCCCGGCCGCGTCATACCAAAAGACGTTAAAAGATGGTACTTGTTTTTACCCTGTCTGGCGATCGGCATAAAGGGGCTAAAACAAGAACTGGTCGGCTCGGAGTCAGTATACTGTGTCTGAGTGGGGTATTCATGTTAAACTGGGGCATGGTATCTCAGTGAGCTAGCACTATAAATCGGCATTTGTCCGGACTAATACAAGCAGCCACACACACGTGCATGCACGTCGCTATATAAGTGCAATAATCTTGGACGCGACGTTAAACCCAATTTCACCTTCACCTTAATGACGAGCGCCAGACAGGGTAACAACAAGTACCATCTTTTTGGTAGAACCTTCCACTCTACCACTACACTAAAGAGACAGTCACCAGATGATTGAAAACATCCTGGTGGATGAAGTTTAATTCAAAATTATGGGTTAAATTACGCCGACGTCAAGTAAATGTTCACAAATAAGGGAGTATGTTAGATGACGAGGTCATGCTGTGTCCTTGCTTCCCAACATGTGTTGAATACGATCATGTGACCATGAAGGGCAATTCAAAATGGCGACGTTTGTGTTAATGCAAGTCCGAATCACTCTGTTAACATCAGTACTACATCTGGAAGAGTTAGTTTTCAGACACAGCTGCACCAGTTACATACATGCACAGTCAGTGTCAAGGTCAGATCGACATGTATTGTAGCGGAGGCTGTTGGGTGGTATCCGTATCAACCGGTCTTACTGGTTTTTGTGTGAAAACATGCACACTGTTTGTTTTAAAGAATGTCAGTGTTTGGTGGATATATGTCTGGACACATTGTTCATCTCGTTAATAACTATTACCAAAAGATGAAACATCTCGTTTCACATATTTCTCATATTAGTGCGCACACCAATTTCATGTTTGTTTCTGACCGTGAACCCTGACCTTCACGGGACTACTTTCGCATCATTCATTTCGATCGCCGTTTGTGTTGACGCTGTAACTGCAAGAAAACAGGCACGGGGGAAAAGAACTCAGTTGATATTACTTTTGTTGATTATCAAATGAAAAGATAAGATGCAGAAGAAACTATTTCATTTTCTAATATTTTGTAGAGATAATGATTGCCAGTTCAGGCACACAGTTGACCTATTTTACTTCGACTATCATAATACCAATTACAAAGTACACAACAACACAGAGAGATAATTCATGAGAACAGCTTGTATCAAAATAACGATAGCCGTAGGGTGCGTGTATCACTGCCTATCCGTGCATGTGATTTATGGTTCATGTTCCACTGCCTGCATCAGCAACCCATGCTTGCTGCAAATGGCGACTATGCTTGTCGACAGAGGCGACTAACGGGATCTGGTGGTCAGGCTCGCTGACTTGGTTGATGCATGTCATCGATCCCACTTGCGTGGACCGATGCACATGATATCAATCACTGGATTGTCTGGTCCAGACTCGATTATTTACATACCGTCGCCATTACATATATATCTGGAATATTGCTGAGTGCAACGTTAAACAACAAGCAAACAAATCTGCATTTATGTCTAAGGTGTCACTACCTGCATTTACGTGTAAGGTGTCACTACCTGCATTTGAGTGTAAGGTGTCACTACCTGCATTAATGTGTAAGATGTCATTACCTGCATTTACGTGTAAGGTGTCACTACCTGCATTTACGTGTAAGTTGTCACTACCTGCATTAATGTGTAAGGTGTCACTATCTGCATTTTAGTGTAAGGTGTCACTACCTGCATTTACGTGTAAGGTGTCACTACCTGCTTTTACGTGTAAGGTGTCACTACCTGCATTTGAGTGTAAGGTGTCACTACCTGCATTTACGTGTAAGGTGTCACTTCCTGTATTTGAGTGTAAGGTGTCACTACCTGAATTAATGTGTAAGATGTCATTAACTGCATTTACGTGTAAGGTGTCACTACCTGCATTTGATTGTAAGGTGTCACTACCTGCATTTGAGTGTAAGGTGTCACTACCTGCATTTACGTGTAAGTTGTCACTACCTGCATTAATGTGTAAGGTGTCACTACCTGCATTTTAGTGTAAGGTGTCACTACCTGCATTTACGTGTAAGGTGTCACTACCTGCATTTACGTGTAAGGTGTCACTACCTGCATTTAAGTGTAAGGTGTCACTACCTGCATTTACGTGTAAGGTGTCACTACCTGTATTTGAGTGAAAGGTGTCACTACCTGCATTAATGTGTAAGATGTCATTAACTGCCTTTACGTGTAAGGTGTCACTACCTGCATTTACGTGTAAGGTGTCACTACCTGCATTTGAGTGTAAGGTGTCACTACCTGCATTTACGTGTAAGGTGTCACTACCTGCATTTGAGTGTAAGGTGTCACTACCTGCATTAATGTGTAAGATGTCATTAACTGCATTTACGTGTAAGGTGTAATTACTTGCATTTGAGTGTAAGGTGTCACTACCTGCATTTACGTGTTAGTTGTCACTACCTGCATTAATGTGTAAGGTGTCACTACCTGCATTTGAGTGTAAGGTGTCACTACCTGCATTTACGTGTAAGGTGTCACTACCTGCTTTTACGTGTAAGGTGTCACTACCTGCATTTGAGTGTAAGGTGTCACTACCTGCATTAATGTGTAAGATGTCATTAACTGCATTTACGTGTAAGGTGTCACTACCTGCATTTAAGTGTAAGTTGTCACTACCTGCATTTATGTGTAAGTTATCACTACCTGCATTTACGTGTAAGGTGTCACTACCTGCATTTGAGTGTAAGGTGTCACTACCTGCTTTTACGTGTAAGGTGTCACTACCTGCATTTGAGTGTAAGGTGTCACTACCTGCATTTACGTGTAAGGTGTCACTACCTGTATTTGAGTGTAAGGTGTCACTACCTGCATTAATGTGTAAGATGTCATTACCTGCATTTACATGTAAGGTGTCACTACCTGCATTTTAGTGTAAGGTGTCACTACCTGCATTTACGTGTAAGGTGTCACTACCTGCTTTTACGTGTAAGGTGTCACTACCTGCATTTGAGTGTAAGGTGTCACTACCTGCATTTACGTGTAAGGTGTCACTACCTGCTTTTACGTGTAAGGTGTCACTACCTGCATTTACGTGTAAGGTGTCACTACCTGCTTTTACGTGTAAGGTGTCACTACCTGCATTTACGTGTAAGGTGTCACTACCTGCATTTACGTGTAAGGTGTCACTACCTGCATTTGAGTGTAAGGTGTCACTACCTGCATTTGAGTGTAAGGTGTCACTACCTGCATTTACGTGTAAGGTGTCACTACCTGCTTTTACGTGTAAGGTGCTACTGTCTGTGAAAGGTGTGTAAGGCGTCACTACCTGTGATATGTGTGTAAGGCGCCACTGTCTGTGACATCT